GCAAGCACCATTTCTTCCCCAAATTAAACTGATCCTGAGGAGTGCTGCTTCGTATCCTCATTCAGTAACAGAGTAGAGCTGTGCTCCAGGATGGTGCCATCCGCCACTGTGGATGGCTTTTATAGTTCAGGAGTGTGCTGGTAGGAATAACAGTGTGTTTAAGTCTCTGTGTTACTTTCAGCTTCCCATTTACACTTAATAACGGATGAATTTATGCAATAGGGCTTTCTTTGAAATACAATGTGATCATACTTGGGCTTTCAAAGCCACACCACGACAGCATGGACGGTTCCTGGCCAGGATGCAGCCTTGCAGGGCGCTTGCTCAGCAAAAGGGCATCCACAGCAAAGCGCAGGGCCTAGGGTGGCCCCTGATTTTAGGCCACACAATTTAATGCCTTTTTGCATCCCAGCTCCCTTCTCATGCCCAAAGGTTGTTCTTGAGATATTTTGTCTTGCTCCAAATCCCCTCTCTTGTGAAATCTGTCTGCTGCAGCCTCTCTTGTTTGGTTTTCACTGAGCAAGGGTGAATGCCAGGAGAAATACGGCCAGGTTCTGCTTGAATCAAATTTCTGTACTGGGGCTGCCTTCAATATGTCCCAAGTGAAGGAAATGAGGCAGAGGCCTCGCGCTGTGGGAAGGAAGATGCTGGTGAGCCCAGGTGACAATAGAGGGCACTCTTGACTTTACACTGCCAAAAAATGCCCCGAATCTTCCTGTCTTCAATGTCATTTTGATTTAGAAGAAGAAAAAGAAAGAAAGAAGCCACGTGTGCTGCAGCCCGCCCAGCACCACTGGGGCTAATGGGCTCCTTGGGTGCTGAGGAGAGCGATGGGTGCGATGCTGCGGGCTCTGCCTGGCTGGGTTCACCGGGGAAGGGCGCCCAGGTGACACTGGCATCACTCAAACTTGTGCAGAAAATAATGTCCTTATATGAGTTTGCTCTAAGTCCTTGGGAGGCGAATGGTCGATTTTCCTACTTGGTCTTGCAAGCCTTGGAAAGGACACGTATGCGGTAAAGCGGTTGCCCCTAGCAGAGAAATCGCATTTAAAGGATGCAAGTTGCTGCCCCTGGACGTGGTGCCAGAGCTGCTGGCACGTGCCGAGGGAACGTTCACTTCCAGAGCCAGTGCTGCAAAGGAGATAGAATCCCAGCAGAGATAAGAAATCCTTCCTCTTCCCTTTTGCAAACATCTATCAAACAGTATCAGTGGATGATCTCTTTGCTCTGCTGAAGTCCCTGGAATGACATTCTTTGCTTTCCCTTTGCACTTCATTGCTCTTTCTCCATTTTCTTCTGTTCATCTTTCCTCTGCCTCATCTGTTTCTTTCCTTACATTAACCCCAGCCTGTATCTTTTTTCCTCCTATCTCCATGGCCTTCTCTGAAAGGCAATCTGTGCACGTTTTGCATTTCTGAAGTACAATAAGTCTACAGGAAAAGCCCTGCTGCGATATTCAGAGAGAAAATCCTTGGTCTGGAAAATTCATTTTTTGAAAATAAGAGCAGAAACAATTTGCTATCAAATAGCATTTTCTCTGAAGGTTTCACAGCAGTTTTTATTAGTGGCATCTCATGATAGTCTCCTCAGTGCTACCCAGGCAATATGCTGTCCATAAATTGAGGCTCGAGGCTTGATGGGACGTGTCAGAGGTTGCAAACGTGGTCAAGCAGAAAGCTGCTCAGAGTGCCCAGCCCAAGTTGTAAATAGCAGGCAATAACCTGCTCCGATACGGAAACTACACAAAATTTATGTAAATTCTACCCGATCCGGTGCAAATATTACTTCAATGAGCACTTTTATGCTTATTGCAATTGGACACTGCTTCCCAGGATGTGACTGATTTTGAGGAGTCTTTTGGTCAGGGTGTTTTTGCCAGTTTGGTCCTGCTCTCGAGTGTTCGCAGATGCACCGTGTGCTAGCAGGCTGTGTAACACATGTTTGCAAGAAAGAAAAGCAAAACCTTTTGGCACCTGGCAGGTTCCAGGGTTCCCTTCATTATCCGGGGCAGACCCAGGAACTCTATATTTCAAAGCCATTTGACAGCACTGTGATTTAATATGCCACTGTAGCATATAAATTATTAACAGCTATTCAAGATGTTCCCAGAGATGACAAAACGTACTGGAAGAAGAGAAAAAAAAATGTGTTTTCCAGCTCAAATCTTTTGACATGCAATAGATGAAGATTTCTCTTGGCTAGAATCTGATTCCTCTTCCCACAGCAAATGCTACCCTTTTATGTCAGGTGCCATGTAAGGTTTTTGACTTGCCGCTGCTGCTGCTTTTCTTGCTTTTTCTTTCTTTCTTGCTGACTTTCTGTCTTTCTGTCTTTATTAGATGTGTGGCCAGAGCAGTGTAGACATCCAGATCGTTCTTCGTGGCTGAACCCGGTTCACGCTGCTGCCTGGAGGACAGGCTGAACTGTGCCGTGGGGTGGTGCAGGTCTTGTGCATGGAGAAGGTAGAAGATCCCCCCTCGCACCCCGTTAGCTGGGAAGTCAACACACGAGCGCTGGAAACACTTTGTCCAGAGTAAGTCTAGCTTCTTTAACATATTTCTTCTTATTGTAAAAGCAAAGAAAAGGTTGAAAATCTGACCCACTTGCATGCAAATACCTCTGCAAGCAGAGGCCAATACGCGATACAAAATTCTGAAAAACCTCTTGCTTTTCAAGCCACTCGGCAGCTCTGTGTCTGGAGACACTCAGACCTCTGAAGAGCCGCTTCAGGGATGAACCAGCTTTTAATGTCGTTCCTCCTTGGGAATGATGCTCCCTAGCCCTGGCTATGAGATCCCTCCTCACTTCCATTCCTCTTTTATCCCCTCGGAATAGAAGATAAACCTGCCCCATTACTTACGTCTGCTCCCTGCGTTAGTTGCTTGGGGCACATGGATGCAGCCGTCGTGTTTGCAGCCTCGCTGGGCCAGCTCCGATGGGAACGGGCAGAGTGAGGCCGTGAAGGACAGCGGGGTTGAAGAGGAGAGTCCATCAGGGCCAGGCCAAGCCAGCCATGGTTCAAAAGGGCCTTGGAAGTTGCACTTTTGCTCTCTACTCTGCTCGCACAGATTAAAAAATTGTCTCCCGGTGGATCTGACTTCCTGGGCATTTTCAGATGGGGGTGGGATGGAAAGGGTTGGAAAATCTCTCCCAGTTTTTCAGCACAGTCTCCGGAAAACTTTTCGAATGGGTCCAAAATCTACAGAAACCGTTTGGAACAAGGGAACCGAATTGACAGATTTTGAGCCTTTGAGGCAATTTTATTATTGTGATAAAGCACCGTGACTTTGAACATTTGCCCTTCTCGGGTGGAGGATAAGGGGGAAATGGGAGGGCTCTCCTGTTTCATTTTCTCTAAAAGCATCATTTTCCATTCCTGGGACATTTATTTTGTTGTTCTAAGCTTAAATCTCAGCACAGGGCTAGATTGTGACTGTTTTCTTGGAATTAACAAGCATAACTACTAATTAAATGCAGTTCTGTCAGCAGACAGATCAGAAACAAGAGCAAGAGCAAAACTAGCTTCCTGCCATATATTTTCTTGGAAGGAGGAGCTTTGTTCTCATATTTAACATGAGGAAACCTTATCGGAATGGAGTGGGTGCACATCACAGGCCTTTTTAGCTGCGAGCAGGCTGCTCACCTGGCATAAATCTAATTTGCTGGGGGATGCGGATTTGTGCTCTCCCTTCCCATCTCCGCCCCAGTTTCCATGGGAAGAAAATCTGGATGTGCTGGCTGGCAGGGAGATGTCTCTACATCAAAAGCAGCGCAGCCCCTTTCATAGCGCCGTTGCGAAGCGCCAGAAACGTTTCCTCTCTCCGAGCTAACCCGGTGGGGTGGGCAGAAGCGAAGTGAAGCGCTTTGCTGGGCGGCTGCGCCGGCTGTTCGGCTTTGAAGCTCTCCCTGCTAACAAATAACCAGCCCTGCACAAAGGCAAGCAATCAGCCACGCAGGCAGGAAACCCCGGGCAGCAGCTAGCTGTAATTCAGCATTTTGCAATGAGGGGGAAAAAAAACCCTAGCTGAAATGGCCTGATAGTACATTAAAGTTTATGCAGTACGGTAATAGGGACACTGGACTGAGCTGCCCATTCTCAGGACAGGCTTGCTTGAAACATTGGTCTCCCTCTTGTTTGCAATGGACATTCTCAGGATAAATTCTCTGCGGAGCAGCCAGGGGCTGCTTTCCATTGCGTGTGGGATCCAAGGCCCCAGTTCTGCAGTTTGGATGGGTGCTCACATTACACAAACATGCATACCGAGGGTCCTAGTGGGTGCAACATTTTCTATCCAAAAAATCACTGCACACGAGGATCCGGACTGGCTTTTCTATCTCTATAAATCAGACAGATATTCACAAAACCTCTTCCATATGCCTAACCTTGTCATATTTGCAGCTCTTTTAATGCTTCTGTTTCTTCAGGCATTTAACTGCACCTGGAGCCCTGGGGCTCCCTTGGTCTCTTTGGAAGCAGGTTTGTCGCCCAGATTCCAACCAGGGAGCAAAACTGATAAATACTGGCCAGGTCTGAGCCCTTCCAGGCCCAAGAACTAGGCATTAGGCCT